CAGACCGCAACGCACCATAAAATAGGCAATAACATTTGTACACAATAAAGCCAAAAAGTGGTTGTGAACGTGAGAGGCAGTAGTCAATAAACTGAACATAGCTTAAGAACCGTAAATCGTACAATAATAATATATAGGTCAAAATAAAGCTTATAACAAGGGGAATAAATATACCTAATCTGATTATTGAATAGTTATATCATAAGAATATATATAGATAATATTAGTCGACTCATTTGGCTTAGACGTTACTCGTGATTTAATCTTCGCTCGGAAATAACAGGAGGATTCGACAGCTGGACGTACCTGTATACTACAGTTGATGTTCACTCTACCACTCCAATCCATTCTTTTATTGGCAATATTGAGGCAATCGACACAGGATGCACGTATGCCAATAAGAGATTGACCAGTTGCAATCTTATACATCGATTGAAAGCTTCAAACAACCAGTAAAAAAGTGAATTTAAACTTCACCCTATCTCACAAGCTAGTGGCTATCAAGACTCAATAGCTAAGTGGATAACGTGATGGCGTTTGAAGCGAACGGTACTGGGTTCAAGTGCCGAAGTGAATATATATAGCTATTACTGACTTATTTTAAAATTTCAAGTTCGACAGGATTATTAAGTGCTTTTGTATGTTTTTGAGTTTTCAAGTACGGTACGACAGAATTAAAACATACTACAAAACAACTAAAACCGTTTTCAATGCTTCATTTCGTATAAAGCATATGATTCTCTTTATGTCAACTCTAAACTGTCTACAGATTAGAATTTATCTATTATAATACCTTTGATGTTGGAGAGTCGTCTTTTAAAATGTTGACTTGAGCTAAAGAACATCTAAACTACACAAAAAATGCATCTCATTATCTTGTAGAACTTTGAATTCTAAATTAGGTCAGTAATAGTTATATATTCCATCTTTAATAGTCATCAAATCCATATCAAAACAATCCGACAAAAGCTTTCCCAACTATAATGAAAGGCAAGTGGCTTAAACTTTCCATATATTGTTAAATCCTAATGTCCTCAATAGAATACAAAGCCTTACCATCCATCCAATTCGGACCATCTATTCAAGCTACTATATCGGATTCTATTCATATCTCACACCATTTTCATATTATAAATATCGCATGTATCACACTTATTACCATACCATATCATACCATAGACAAAAAGACACAAGTATATCTCATGAATACTACCTTGACCTGAGTGACATAATAAATGGACTTGATCAGACCTGTTTTTTCTGATTGATTATATAAAATAGTTTTGCATTGTTCCTTTGTATTACTACTAATGAAACGTGTATTATATTAATTTCATGGAAATCACGACTTGATCTAATTTAATTTGTTTACTTATTCTCTGAAGAAGTGATTTACATGCAGTTGCGAAACGTTTAAATCTTTTAGTATTACATGTGTTATAATGCAAATTTTTAAACCCCAAATGCCCTGGTATGGCCGAGAGTGGGGAGAGTCCGCTCTCCCTCTCGAAATGCTCTCACATGGCCACGCGTATATAGCCTCTGCCAGGGAAGTCCTACTCACTGCCTTCTCGTGGCGGGGGTGTTGTTTACGAAAATGAGAGGATGAAAAGCGAATGTCCGGCGCTTTAACCGGATTCTAAACCAATGGTACACATGGGCTCCAGCATCCTGAAGGAACAAATGGCGTATGAACCAATCGTTGGTCACCGGCTTCCATGGGACTGCATCTCCTTACGATGCTCCACTGCCTTGTGGGTCAGACCTTCAGGTCGAAGGCTCGGGGTGTTGTCTACTAAGAAAACCACCTGTTTGGGTTTGGGCACCCGGGCAGTATCTCAGCCCTCACACATATCGAATGTGATTTATGTGTCGCATTTGTATTTGGTGCCTCCTTGTACCAATACCTATGTGTTAAAATAATAATAATAATCTTGTATTAAAACAAGAAAATTTAGTCACATCATTAAAAGCATAGTGTACTGTATATCGCATTTCTTAGGTGATTGCAATTAAATATAGTTACACAGTGTACACTGAATGTGAAGAATATACCATTATGAAATGTGTCAATTAGCAATCAATATAAAATATATTCAGTTTGTTAGTTCTATTCTCAGTTATATGGTTCTGAACAAAGATTGGTAGAGTAGATTGAAAGAAAAGTTGACTTAAACGAAGTACAAATCAGGAAAAGCAGATATTGAACTAGAATACAAAGATGTTTTACCTAGCCTATTTGTGTTTTCTTCAATTCTCTAACTTTTGCATTATCGTAACAATAAATTAATGAATGAATGGTATATTTGTGGCTTCCAAGTGCACTGGTACGGCCGAGAGTAGGGAGAGTCAGCTCTCCCTCTCGAAATGCAATGACAGGGAAGTCCTACTCACTGCTTTCTCGACATCACGATGTTGTTTGTGAAATTGAGAGGACGAAAAGCGAATGTCCGACCTTTTAACCGGGTTGGTGGATATGAAAGATTCATCTCGGAGAGTTGGAAAACCCTGATTCCAAATCAATGATGTACATGGTTCCAGGATCTTAAGGATACAAATGGCGTATGAACCAATCGTTGATCATCGGTTACCGTAGGACTACATCATATTAAGTTGTTCCACTGACTTGTAGATTAAACATTTAGGTCAAAGGCTCCGGGTGTGGCCTCCTAAGAAAATCACCTGTTTCGGTTTGGTCACCAGGACAGTATCACGACCCTCACACAGATTTCATGATATATGTGGCGCTTGTATCAATGTTTATGTGTTTAAATAAATAAATATTAGAATATAGTTTACAATAAATCATATTGATAATACTGTTGTTTATTTGAAGCTGTTAGTGAAAATACTTACTTTCTTTACTGTTTATATTTCTGTTAAACGGACTAATTTATAATGAGTATTGGTTGGACTGATATTAATAACAGTTGTATTAGTTAATTCAGATGGATGTTTAGATGTTTCATAGTAAAATTAAGTTTATGTCTAATGGATAAGACCTTCTTTGAAAATTAAATTAATATATACTACTGATATGTTGTATTTATTAATGTTACTATATCAGAAGCGGGTTTTGTGGATATTAATGTAATTTTAATGGTTGAGATGGTGAGTTAATTGAAGCTCATTAGTGACGGTCTCCAAAAGGTATTTCCTGAAGTTCTAATGAGGAGCAGTGACCGGTTAACTTCAACCAGGTCTGTTATGAGATAGTAACTCACTTAAAGACAATGTTGGATGTGTCGCTCAATTTCGTGGATTAGTTGAAGTTAGACATTAACACTGTTGGATGCCGGCTCAGTGGTTTAATCGTTAAGTGCTCGCGCGCGAGACCGATAGGTCCTGGGTTCGAATTTGGTGAGACGAGATTGTGGATGCGCACTGCTGGGGAGTCCAACAGTAGGACGAAACGGCTGTCCAGTGCTTCCAGGTTTTTCATGGTGGTCTAGCTTCAATAGACTCATGATGTCACCTATTAAAATTATATCACTATAGTTGCTGTAAGACAATTATAATCTAATAACCATTGAATTATGCATAACAATCCATTAAGAAAAGGCTAAACATTTCTCGAAGGCATAGTTATATTCTGGAGAATAAATGAATATGAACAATCATGATATATCTCAGGTTCATATACGCTACTAAAATCGTACTGAATGAGAGAATGCATCCTTCCTAATGGTGATGTCAGAATAAACTTCACATTACTTATTGTTAATCAGAATAAAAACTAAGGTAAATAAATCAAGCATCATATTTCGAAAATAAAACAAACCATCCAGTGTGAGGTTTTAATTATGGTACCATATAGAAATATAATAAACAAAGAAGGGAGAAGTAAATATGATCACTAATGAATTAAGGAACTGAAATATTAAGATTTCTTAAATTAACTTGGTTTTTGTTTTACTTGTATCTTCCCATTGTTGGCTTATGTGCATCCTGTGCGGATTACCTCAATACAGCCTTAAGTCACAAGCTGTTTGAGCAAAGATGGATAGTGGCTAGCAGTGAAATCCAGTTTCACGCACGTTTCGTCCTATTTGGCACTAGTCAGCTGGATGTATCTGCATCAGAGTTGATGTTCATTCTGAGGCTCGAACTCAGTACCGTTCGCTCCAAACACCATCACTTGATCGACTTAGCTACTGAGTCCTAATAGTCACTAGCTTGTACAATGGGATGAAGTTTAAATTCACTTGATGTTGTTTTATTTGTGTCTTCCCATTGTTATTTAGGACTACAATTGATCAGTGTCATGTTGGCTTATGTGCATCCTGTGCGAATTACCTCAATATAGCCTTAAGTCACAAGCTTTTTGTGTAAACATATAGGATGAATGTTCTATTGTTGTAATAGATTTATTTATTTATTTTATTTTAACACATAGATATTGGTACAAGGAGGCACCAAATACATATGCGCCACACAAATCTCATTCGATATGTGTGAGGGCTGTGATACTGCCCGGGTGCCCAAACCGAAGCAGGTGGTTTTCTCAGGGGGCCACACACAGAACCTTTGACCTAAATGTCTGATCCACAAGGCAGTGGAGCATCGTAAGGAGGTGCAGTCACATGGCAGCCGGTGACCAACAATTGGTTCATACCCTATTTGTTTCTTTAGGATACTGGAGCCCATGTGCACCATTGGTTCGAAATCAGGGTTTTCGAACTCCCCTAAGTGGACTCTCAATGTTCACTAACCCGGTTAGAGTGCCGGACATTCTCTTTTCGTCCTCTGAATTTTGTAAACAACACCCTTGGTGCGAGAAGGCAATGAGTAGGACTTCCCTGGCAGATGCTGTATACGCGTGGCCATGTGAGAGCGGACTTTCTCCACTCTCGGCTGTAGCAGGGCATTTGGGGGCGGGATTATAACTCTTCATACAAACTGGGTTAAGTATAAGTAGTACATATCTATTAGGAATTCAGTAGTCAATATAATCTAAATTAATCGTTTGTTTTCTTCTTCTTCTTCTCCTCAAATTCTAGGCTAAAATATCATCAAATCAATATGGGAATTTCCCATCTATTATTATTCCAACAGTCAATTATTTCCCATGTTCCACTAATCATAATCAATATTCCTATATAAAATTACCAATTCATTGGCCTAAATATTTTATAACACATCAACCAATTATACCAATTGATGTAACAATATCTAATTTAAGTCAATCATCATCTACTATGATTACATCATCACAATTATCCAGACAAAAACGTTCCATTATTTATCATCATCATCATCCAATAAATCAATCATCAAATCAATCTATTCCATTATATAGATTTTCTAAATTATATCCAATAGCTTGTTTACAATTAAAAATACAATTTCTATCTAATAATCATAATGAGGATAATGATAATAGATTAGATAGTCAAATTGTTTTAAGTTTAGGGTAAGTCAAGTCTTTTTTCTCATTTCATAATTTTTATAATGTATATGATTGATTCATCGTGCTTCGGTTTTTTTTTTGGGGACCCGGGGCAGTATCACAACCCCCCTTGCACAAACTAAATGAGATCTGTGTTGCCTCCTCCTTGTACCAATATCTATGTGTTCAAATAAAAGAAAATATGATTCATATATAACTGGAAATAGAATCAATAAATGTGACTTCTTTAGATGATGTTTTTTAAGTGGAACATTTATTACTGACTTCTTAGCCTTTCTCCTATCACCATAGACTATTACTATTATTATGCTTCAACTTGAACCAATAAAGGAATAGTATGAATTGTGAATAAAACCTATACTCCAAAATCAGTTATGTACACTAAGTATTCGACCACAGATGTCTTAGAAATATTGCTGGCGTCTGCTGGGATCATCGGGTAAGCAATAGTGAGGTTAGATGCAGGGTATTAGGGAATGATGATGGTTAATCAGTTGATGAGGTTGTGAATCTTCATCGACTGAGACGGTTGGGCCACGTGTTACATATGCCCAAACACCGATTACCACGACATGCAATGCTAACCGCTGTTCGGGATATTTGGAAGAAAGTTAGGGGTGGCCAAACCAAAACGTGGCATCAGTACTTGAAGTCACTAACTTCTAGTCTGAGCCATGATGGGGGATGCACACTACTTGATTGGGGTCCGCGTGACTATCGTAACCAATGGTTGGAGACTTGGTGAAATGGCTCAGAATCGATCACAATGACGTCGGTGTATACACTCTCTGTGTTCCCTTAAACTATGAGATTAAAATTGCTTTATATCTTTCTTTCTACGAACTAATTCTTTCTTCCTGTACTATATCCTTATATGTAGTCTTTTTTTTATATATTACTAATATTGAAGTGACTACTCCTATGAATCCGATGTCCATCTATCTTGTGTTAATGAGGTATGGCAACTTGGACCGATGCATAAATGTGCCTGGTCCTACGTTGTAGCTGACTGACTGACGGAGTCAAGTCTATTTATAGAGTCATATGATTTTGTTCTTCTAAAAATTTCTAGAAACGAACTAGATATATATATAGCAAAGATACAGCTTATTATTATTCAATAAATACGTGATACATAACTCTTCATTTTTCTTAGATGCTTGTAAGAAGCTTTTATTCGATGTTGATTGGATAAAGTATTTCTTAGAGTTTTCAACGCTTCTACTGAATTTTGACGAAGGAGGTAGTAAGCCGTTGAAATTTCATTGGTCAAAATAGTTGGGATATAAACATAACAGAAGGAAAGTCAAAAAGTCGCTTATCCCGATACACCTCGGTAAATGTAACGTAAATGATGACTGGTAGCTCACAGATCAACCCATAACATCAGTTTAAAAAGTTATTACATTTCAGTGTGAATCATATGAAAAAGTATTGGATAACTTGTAGTGTGGCTGAAATTCAATTGCACTTGGTTGTGTTAGCTCATATCATATCCTTTCTTCCTTCTCAAAGTCTTATCATACTATTCAGTTTGAACCAAGTTTCGAATAAATCTAGTTACTTAATAGTTAAACAATAAGAATATATACAAACATAGTCCACAATATAATCGTGGCAGTTATCATTCATTTAAACTTATACCATATAGTTATGATACATATATTTTTCTCTTTAAATTTCCCACCTTTAGTTCAAATAAACAAACAATTCGAAATGTGTTCAATATTGAAGAATTATATGCAAATGCATATTATGAAGATTACAATGATGATGATGATGATCATCATCATCTTAGGGAAAATAGTGAGACATCATCACATACTTCATCTCCTCCTCTATCAAGTAAATCATCTAGAATAGATTGGTCAATAATACGTCAAGAAATATCTGATTTAAAAAATAATACATTACCATACAATGTATGGATTAATGTTTCAATGCCTGTCTATCCTACCACTATCACTACTACTACTACTACTACTACTACTACTGATCTTAATACACTCTATAATCAAACTAATCATCATTATAATGAATATGTAAATCCTTCCAAACTTCATGAGACCGTCTTAGAACAATCTGATCATTGGATTGCTATAGATTCTATACAATTATTATCTATATACAGTACAAATAATGTATGCATTGATGATATCCTATTGTATACACATCAGAATAGACAATTCTTAAAATCAACATGTCAGAATAAATTAATTTGGATTAGTAATAATAAACAATCGAATCATTCTATACAAATTTTATATCTTAATTCAAATGGTTATCCAATATTATTGAATAGAACTAATTCATCATCATTATCTAGTCAATCAAATCATCATCATCATCATCATAAGAAGAAAGATAGAAATAATTTCATTCTACAATCTTTTAAATCAATCTATTCAAAGAAATATCCAATCTATCGTAGTGTACATATGATATGGATAGCTGGTTCATTATTATTAGCAGTATTTATTACATTTTTAGCTATTTTATTTATTATTACATTTAGTTTATCAGTTATGTGTAATCAACGTAAAACTATCAACACTATTCATTTGAGTACTACTAATTCAACTACTGAAAATAATATAAGTAGTCGAAATGAAAAATGTAAAAATAATATGCCATTATTGTATGAACCACATAATCGTCGAAAATTCTATTTAAATCATTATAATAAAGAGAATTGTAATAATGAATTATTAAGAATTTTACCAAATAATTTATCGAATAATTCATTTTTAATAGATTTACATAATCATTTATCTTCATCATCATTACATGGTTTATTAAATCATCATCAAAATGAAGGAAAACAACAAAATAATTCACAACAGATTATTATTACATCAACAACACATCAACAATTTGTAGATGATAATTCAACGGAACTTAGTTTATGTATGCAAGATGATAAAAATGAATTTCTTCGTGTAAGTTTTCTCTTTTCTTTTTGTTTTTGATGTTTACTTGTTTCGACCCAGGCTTCTATTCTGAACATATCTGATAGCGTCTCTAGCCACTGTGTCGCACCATCTCTAGGACCCCAGCCAGGGAGTCGTGAAGGACCATCAGAAACAAGTACTGTACAGCTTTTTTTCATACCACCATGACACCATGTCATACACGAATCACCTCTCCGACTTTTCCAGTGTCGGCGAATAATGCATGACGTGGAATTCTATGGGATGACACTCGTAAAACATGTTGAAGTCACCGGAATCGATGTTTCATTATAGTGACACTAGTTGAATTATCATCACTGTGCCCGAACACACTATGCTGAACCTCTTCATTACTAACATGGTGTTGCCACTGGATGTCAGCAATCCTTCGGAGACAGCGATGATCGAACACAGAGAGTCGTCTAACATCCTCAGCTCGGAGAGACCAGGTTTCACAAGCATAGAGCAAAACTGCTCTCACCGACGCGTTGTAGATCCGACCTTTTACAGCCAGACTAACATCACGAAGGCGCCAAAGGTGGCCTAGATTGGGATAAGCCGCTCTGGCTTTCACTATACGTGAATTGATTTCATCACCCACGTCACCGCTAGCATTCATGCAGCTGCTCAGATAAACGAACGTCTCCACTATTTCTATCTGTTTAATACCCAGAGTGAGTGATGGATCAGGCTCCTACCAATCTTATGCAAGCACTTTGCTTTTCGAAGGTGCAAAGCATATACCCCATACGTATAGACACTAATTGCCAACGAGATGGTAATGTTGTAAATATTATCTCGTTACAGAGTAAATAACATACAAATAGTTAGGGTTAGATTTAATAAATATTTGTTTATTTTATTTTATTTTTTACATCAGAAATTCAATCTTATAGGTATGGTACTACCCGACCGTTGTTGCTACCTTGACGTGGTGGTCGGGCTTGCCTATCATGATGAAGCAGCCGAGCTATACTGGCTGGAACAACTGTTCCTTAAGGTCCTACCATGTCAGACAGGTCGTTTGAAGAGCGATAACACTAAAAGCAACAAACCCAAGGTTCGAAGGCGAAGTCATACTGCTGACTGTACAGAGGTGTGACAGCAGTAAGGTGTTTCCTTCAGGCAACCAGTATGACAGCGATACTGCCTTCTCACAAGGAGGGATGGGGTTAGAAAAGGTCGACCTTAAAAATGCGCACCTCGCCTTATCCCACGAATATCCGTCTCTGGCGGTAAGGTCTCAACAAGTACGGAGCTAACACAAAAATTACCCATAAAAAGATCGTGTGTGACCGATCTCAAGCAGTTGTCCCTTGGGCACTGCGGTCACGCTCCCAGGTCACTAAGACCGCCTCTAATCCGATTTCCTTTTCAGGTACCTCCAGAAGAACCCTTCCACGGTGTGGGCAACCGGGAAGTGACAACCGCCCTCATACCTCTAACAGCAACCGGTATGGTATTAATGGAATTAAAATCCTTATTGTATTGTATTTCTCGTGGGTTATTTATGCATTAGTTTGCGTACTATCCAAAACGTAAATGTCAGATATATGTGCTTTCAAAGAGTTAGTTACTGTTATTTCGAAAAACTGAAACTCTCAGTTAATCATCAGCAATGTAGAACCTGGCATAGTTGTTCAATGATTCAAGAAGTTACACTATATCATCTTAGCGAGATAAAATTATCATTATACAAAATTCCAGTATAGTAGTAGTTTTAACAATACCACTGGTATTGATGGTAATAGGAAAAATTAGAGATGAACAGTATGTATAAAGAATGAATTTTTACCATCAAAAGTACGTAAACCGAAGATCTAAGGGAGGACAAGGAGTGAATACCTCTGCACTGGTTCTGAACGTCTTCAACTACTAATTTCGCTAATCATCCAGAAACCAACTAGCTATTTCATAATTAGTTCCTTTTATGAATTTGAAGCCCCCAAATGCCCTGGTACGGCCGAGAGTAGGGAGAGTCCGCTCTCCCTCTCGAAATACTCTCACACGGCCACGCGTATACAGCCTCTGCCAGGGAAGTCCTACTCACTGCCTTCTCGTGGCGGGGGTGTTGTTTACGAAAATTAAAGGACGAAAAGCTAATATCCGGCGTCTTAACCGGATTTCAAACCAATGGTGCACATGGGCTCCAGTATCCTGTGGGAACAAATGGCATGTGAACTGATTGTTGGTCACCGGCTTCCATGGAACTGCATCTCCTTACGATGCTCCACTGCCTTGTGGATCAGACCTTCAGGTTGAAGGCTCGGGGTGTGGCCTCCTAAGAAAACCACCTGCTTCGGTTTGGGCACCCGGGCAGTATCACAGCCCTCACACAGCGTCACATTGTTGGGACATAAAGTGGGAAATGGAGAAATAAAACCATTGCCGGAGAAAATTCTTACCATAAAAAATATTGCAGTACCTAATTCGAAAAGGAAGTTGAGACAGTTCCTGGGAAGAGCGGCGTTCTACAGTCGGTTTGTCAAAAATTTCAACGAAATAGCAGCACCCTTATATAAGTTATTGAGCAGCACCAAGTTTACGTGGACTGAGACTGCCGAACAAACGTTCAACCGAATCAAAAACAGCTAGACGATCGCCAGATGACGCTTAGACTGCCTGAACCGGGAAGACTGTTTACGGTGGCCACAGACGCGAGTGATCATGGTATAGGTGCTGTGCTGAGTCAGGCTGATAGAGTGGTGGAATACGCGAGTCGCGTCCTCACACCTGCTGAACAGAAGTATTCAACCATCGAAAAGGAGTGTTTAGCGATCGTGTGGGCAGTGGAAAAATGGAGACCATACCTTTTAGGTAGACGATTTCACATTGAGACCGAACATAAACCCCTGCAGTGGTAGAAAACAGCAAGAGACCCCGAGGGAAGTTGGCGCGATGGATGATACGCCTGCAAGAGTACGACTTCAGTATCGGCCATGTTCCAGGAAAAGAAAACGTAATGGCAGATTACTTGTCAAGACCAGACATGGAAGCCGACCTGCCATTAACAGCATACGCGGTGAATAGTTTAGAGGGAGACCCATTAGAACTCGTCCGGCAGCAGAAAGCTGACCCTAACCTTCGAGAGGTAATCAGAGTGATAAAAGAGGGAGCAGACGTAGATAAACGAACAATGGACAAGGAGGTAATAACGCTGCTTCGGCAAAAGGACCGACTGAGAGTGAACTCATATGGAGTGCTGACCTGGCAGGACGATGATGAGAATTGGGTGGCGGTGATCCCGAAAGACTGGCGGCGTAAAGTGATACACGAGTGTCACCAGGTAGCACATACAGGCATCGCAAGAACGACGGACTTACTACGACAGAGTGCATACTGGCCGAGCATGAGAGACGATGTGGCTGAATACGTGTTAACCTGCCAGCAGTTTCAGCTAATGAAAAGCGATTGATACACACAACCGCCATTACAGTCAATCCCAGTAACCGCAGTCGGTGATCTATGGTCGGTTGATGTGATGGGACCGTTTCCACAGACGGCGAGCGGTAACCAGTACCTGCTAGTGATGACGGAACATGCTACACGTTGGGTAGATGCCGCACTCATTGCAGACCAGCGGGCAAGGACAGTGACCGAGGTGGTAATCCGGCATATTGTAGCGTGTCACGGAATACCGAAGATGATATTAACTGACCAGGGTCCCTGTTTTGAAAGTGACGAGTTTAAAGCCCGTTTAAAGCAGTTTGGCATCAAGAGAATACGAACTACACCGTATCATCCTCAGACAAACGGGCTTACAGAGAGAAACAATCGGACGTTAAAGGAATGGTTAGCATCAAAAGGAGGAAATTGGGAGAAAGAGTTACCATTGATTTTGCTGGCACATCGTTCCTCAACACAAGGAACAACCAAGAAGTCACCTTTCTTGCTCATGTATGGCAGACAACCACGACTTCCAATGCATAATAAGACCTGGCCACAACAACAGAAGTGGACGACAACAAGGTTAAGAAAAGAGAGGAGAGAGGCAATAAGGAACGTGGAAAAGAAACAAATATCAGACACAAAGAAGGCAGAACAACAGAGGAGAACGTGGAAACCCTTTGCAGTGGGGGACCTAGTAAAGTGTAGAGAACGAAAAAGTAACATAGCAGGGGGAGCAGGGCCGGGGAAGCTGGCCCCAAAATGGGAAGGACCGTATGTAATCACGGAAAGACGCGGCTCGGTCTACATGATCTGAAGAGAAGACAAGCAGAAGCGCGTAAATGCTAGTCAACTACAGAGATGGTTTCAAGATCATCATGGGTGTGAATCACGAAAAGCACCAAAGAACACAGCGGTACGGAGATCAGAAAGACTACGACAGCAACTTGTTAAAAGGGGGGACGAGTGTGGTGCGTGCTACTTATATTGATATAAGTAGTATATAACGTGAGTCAAAAGAACGTAATGGCTGGCAGCAGAAGATGGAGAAGATCAAGAAAAGAAGAGCGAGAAAACAATGGAATTTGTAGAAATCGCATGAGCAATGAAATGCGAGACAATGGATTGATGTTTGCGACAGCAACAGCCCGGTTTGATATGATAGAATGATATTTTGCAAATTAACGATTTACTATATGGTTTTTCTATTTTACCAAGTAATTCTGTAATTTGTCCTAAATACAATTTGGCTGTCCTCACCCGTGTTCTTCGTCACTACAGTAATACTTCAATGAGTAGTCGTATTAGGGGAGTACTTGTTATGTAATTGATAATATGTCACTTTTATTTTCTGTGCACTCGAGATATAACACATATACGTTATACTGATTGGCTAATATTAGAATTTTCAGGAGGGGTTTTGTGTAGATTTTTAGAAATTCGAATAGTTGAAGTCATGACTCAATTGAAGCTGGACCACCATAAAAACCCTAGAAGCACTGGACGGCCGTTGCAAGTTCAAATGCTGACACTCAGTTAAGTCCGAAGAAGTAATAGTATCACTAATTCTTATACAAATGTTATGCCTTAGAGCTAAATACACAAACATGTCAGTCAGTCAGTCAGCAACAACGTAGGACCAGGCACATATATGCACCGGTCCGAGTTGCCATACCTCATTAACACAACTAGATGGACACCGGATTCATAAAAGTAGTTAATTCAGTTGTAATATATAAAAAAGAGATTACATATAAGGATATAGTACAGGAAGAAAGAATCACTTCGTAGAAAGAAAGATATGAAGCAATTTTAATCTCATAGTTTAAGAGAAGACAGAGAGTGTATACACCGACGTCATTGTGATCGATTCTGAGCCATGTCACCAAGAATCTCCGACCATTGGTTACGATAGTCACGCGGACCCCAACCAAGTAGTGTGCATCCCCCATCATGGCACAGACTAGAAGTTAGTGACTTCAAGCACTGGTGCCACGTTTTGGTTTGGCCACCCCGAACTTTCTTCGAACCATCTCCAACACCGGTTAACACTGCACGTCGTAGTAATCGGTGTTCGGGCATACGTAACACGTGACCCAACCATCTCAGTCGATGTTGTAACAAATAAGAATTGTGTTATTAACAAAATATTAGAAGAGGTTTTTTTTTTGGAGATTGTAGTAATTTAAACAGTAGGGCTCATGAATCAATTAAAGCTAGACCATCATAGAAAACCTAGAAACACTGGATGGCCGTTTCATTCTATTGTGTGAGGACTCCTCAACAGTGCATATCCACGATCTCATCCATTGAAATGAACAAAATACTCAATTATATTTGTTTTCTTTTTCTTATATATAGTCAATTGATAGAAAAATTGTTGACAATTCAGATGTATCTACAACAAGTGCTATACAATTATTACGTAATTGGAATTTTTATAAACAACGTAGTACATCCTCACCATTTAGTTCTTCATCTAATAATAATAATCCTATAAAACAATCCAATGTAAAACATAATACATCAATGTTATTATATATGGATCATCATCATGATCAGCCATTATTTGGAAAAGGTTATACTCATTCTAATATAATAGCCAATAATCTTAACAGATCAAATTTCAATGATAAATTAGAAGAGAATGTTATGTATCGATGTCAATCAAGAAATGATACATCGAATTTACCTACAATATCAAATATACGTCAATCTTTAATATTATCCATTAATGATAAGAATGAATTCATTCTATTACCATCATCGAATGCTATGAATCAGAATGAACCGAATCCAATATCATCAACCATGAATAATCATAGTAGTACATTAGGTATGTTAAATAGTTTATCTGAAGAAGATGCTGAAGCAACACGTTTAGAAATGGCAGCTTCTGTTGGTGCATTAGATCAACAATATTTACAACATAATAACAGTAATAATAATAATAATGATAATACATTAGATCATTTAGATTATACTTTATCAACTATACCACATTCATCATTTATTAGAAATGATAATGAAAGACCACCCCCTAGTTATCATGATTCATCACCTTAGAATTTAGCATTTCTAATTGATTGTTTCCCCCCCCCTCCGTTTTTTTTCTATTCGAAAAATGAATTTCTTTAATAATCTTTTAGTGATCACACTGTTTTTTTTTGGTGGTAGAGGAGGGGGCAGTAGGTAGATAATGGGATCAAAATGTTTTCCTCTACCTACCCCATCTCTTTTATCTTGATTGATTTATTACTTACTTTTATAGACTTCTCTTTGATTAACTTAGAACATGATTGACAAATATGTTAGATGATTTAATTTAGTGTAATAGAACTTTTCTCAACTAGTAATAAGGCAGTGAATTATCTAATCTCTAGATCGAATCATTTTCATCATCATCATCATCCTATTCGTATTGAAGATAAGCAATTCATTTGACAAATTCACTTTATGTAATACAGAAATCGGTTCAAATTTCTATTTCCTTTCTTTATATTATTATACTTTTGTCAATGAGACTAGTTGGATTTTGTTTTTAATGAATAAAAAGTGATTAGGATTTTACAATTTTGTTGTGTTTTTTTATTATTATTATGTCTATGTGATGTAATTATCCTTTTTTTGTGAAGAATTTTTTCCCTGTTCACTAAGAATAGTCAATTTCTTTTTTATCGTCCTAGATACTAAATCCATAAATTGTATGCACCCATAAACATACACACACACACACACACAGTCTCTTGGCGGCAGTTGGTTTCTATCATCTCTCTCTCTCTCTGTGTGTGTATATGTGTATTTGTCCTACTAGTAATATTCCTACTATATAAAGTGTTCTTGTTACTGAATTACACATTTTGTTACTTGATTTATACTGCTTTTTTGCTTAGGTAGAACAATGTTTTCTTATTTAAATTAAAGTAATATAAATATCGAATGTAATTTTAGTTAATCCAACCGCATACATAGTTGCTTACCAGTCCCTGTGACTTCACTTTTATGACATCAGTGGTGGTGATGGTGATGTCGTCGTGGGGGTGTATGTGTGCATGGATTATATTTTAAAATTTGTTTACTTTATTTCTATTTATTTACACTTTTTTTCGAGAACAAAAATTTATCTATTTACAACAAAATTATTGATAGAATTCAATGATTTAATTTATTCAACACGTCCCCCCCCGCTTGTTTAAAACAAACAAACAAACGAACATCGAAATGCTTGAACCTTCAATGGATTAGGTAAATAATTGTTGTTGTTTATTTATTGATTTCTTGTTTGGAATTTTGTTTCATTTCTATTTGTAAATAACAATAATATTATATAATCCAGTCAAACAATCAGAATAAAACGTTTTTTTTTATATGTGTTTGGATGTAATTTGAGGCGCCCTTGAATGCCTCGGTTCGGCCGAAAGTAAGGAGAATCCACTCTCTCTTTTCAAATGCTCTCATATGGCTAAGCATACATAGCCACTGTCAGAGAAGTTCTACTCATTACCTTCTTGCCACTAGGGTGTTGTTTACGAAATTGAGAGGATGAAAAGTCAATATCCGATGATTTAACCGGGTTTGTGGACACGGCGGATACACTAAGGGGAGTTGTGAAATTCTGATTCCAGACCAATGGTGCACATAGGTTTCAGTATCCTGAAGAAACAAATGGCGTACGAACCAATTATTGGCCACCGGCTAGCATAACATTGCATCTCCTAACGTTGCTCCACTGTCTTGTAGACCAGACCTTTAGGTGAAAGGCTCCAAGTATGGTCGCCTAAGAAAACCACCTGATTCGGTCTAGGCACCTATGGAGTATCCCAGCCCTCACACAAATTGAATTATTTATTTATCTATTTGGTGCGTCGTTGTGTTGAAGTAAATAGAATAAATAAGAGAGAATTCCAGGTAATATAGTTAGGCTTTATTGAATAAATCTATCATAGAGTTTACTATTATACTGTGAAATTGGTATAGTATAAGGGTTTAACTAGTTAGTGGACGACATTTGAGGGAAGCTGAAGTGAACTTGACAGTGTCTACATAATACCTACGACGAAATGAAGCTCAATTAACCAATGTAGGGAATTAGAAATACAATTTACGGTTGCTGATTAGGGTTCGGCAATAGATTTTGGGTTTTTCATCACGAACAAATATTAGCTATAATGCCAAAAACTCTATTTAACAAAATGGATGAGTGAATTTCGCATCAAAATCCAAGACCTGTCATCTTAAATCTGATTGATTGGTTCATAAATTATAGTCTAGCCTCTATGCTCCTCTGCAGATGTAGGTATACCTCTTTCCTCCATTATTGTAAATCAATAATCAAACTGTTTCATTATGAACGTATTGAATAGTAAGCAATCTCTTTTTTTTTAATATAAAATCAAATATACTCTAATTTCAGGATATAGGAATTGGTTAACAAATTTTTTCATAATGTAAGTATAGAATTGAAGAATTCCAAGATTATTCTCAATGTTCTTTAGGTATTTTGTTGATTGCCCCTAGTAATTAGTTATCACAATTTAGTCACTATAGAAGGAACAGTCTACACAATTCATTGCATTAATTACACTATGATCATTATAAACATGGAATAATATGGAAGTTTCGGTAGAGTGTTGAACTAAGCGGGTATTAAGAAACAAACTGAATAATTTCGCACAAATCACCTAATCAAACAGAAATCGGATGCTTATAATTAGTTAGCTTTGATGTTATTTTCAAAATATTAATCTGAAATTGAAAATGACATCACGAATAGAAGTAAGTAAGCCTCACAGTACATATTGCATAGGCAGGGTTTTGGAATGTGTAATGCAAGCACAACGTCATCTTTAAAATATATATGATGTTTCTGAATTCGATTCGAGAGTTTCAGTGTGGATACAATAAATGTCATATAAATTATTTTCCGAAAAATAAAACTTTATCATTCATCAGGTACTTGGGAGTAATGATACCGTTATATACAGAAGGTTGTTCTTGATATACTGCGCATAACAACAGCACTATAACGCCGAAAACCTTCAAAATCGCAATGAGAAGACACAATAATAATGAACGCAATATGACTCCCAAACCGTGTCAATTATACTACAAAATTGTTAGGTATTTAAAGTTTTTAGTGAGAACGAAATCATTAATACAGGTCTCCAATCTGCGTACACGTGGTCATTAGACTTGTCAAATCGTAGAGCTCCACGCAGGAGTTATAGAATATTCCACCACAAACTCACTAACACTGTCACACAGTCAGTCGCATCGTCAATTCACAAACCTGAAACACACAAAACAAATACATTCGTATCAATCCAACTTCAATTCACAATCCTAATATACATCCATTCTATACACATTCTATACTGTCAGACGACAAAACCAATAGTCATCAAGTAGTTAACAGATGTCCCTATCTGAAGTCATTCATCACACACAGGTTATTATTCAGTCATCAACATCATCATTAACACACTACTAAATATAAACACACTCACTCACCTCTTCTTCACACTCCAAAACCGCACACTCTATGCTGTACTATGCAGTTCTACTGCGATCTAACACAAACCACCGACAAACCTAAAATAAACAAACAAATATACAAAACAAAAACAATTAGCATTTCAATCATTCATTATTAATTCTCATATACACCATGTCATATTAACATCATCAGTGGTTCCTTAGAAGTAAACGGCATTTTAACGTGTATACCGACAAGCCACTTTCATCACTATCACCACAGCAACAGCAACCAAAACAAATCAAACAAACCCAACATACAAAATCACATTCACCACTTCAACATAACACCTCAAACACACAATATGCATTCCATCATACACGACAACATCACATACAAAAATCAACCATATCAACACATATACACATACAAACACACAAACTAATGCCACTTCCTCGCAAAATACACTACACAACACAACGACAAATGTACCATACTCAAATAACAAACTCTAACACAACCACCACTACCAACTCTCCCACACTCAATCTCTCACTCATTACAAACACTCAACAAGTCAACTACTACAATTACCCTGTTCTACTAACACCTCTACACTTCTCCATCAAACAACACTAATTCCCGCCATTACACAACAATTCACAACACTACTGTCTCTCACACTAAACAGCACTGCACAAAACAAAACAAAACAAAGCACCAATCAACAAAATCCTACAAACAATAACACCACAGCAACACTGCACCACTATCATTCACAATACTCACACAACAACACTAAACAATATCCATCAATTATACACACTAATCTACCACACCCTTACCAAACACCTCACAGATACACAACACAGACAAAACTGTGTGGTGATGCACAAAATCATTCACAGTGCATCAACAACTAATTCAATCTACCTCTGGTTCTTACGCCCAGTGACTGCAGTACATCCAGGCGCCTTTGCACAGAGGACACAGCACACCACCATCAATATCCAATAACTAACACACGTCAATCTAACAACCGATCTATCCATCTATCCATATATCCACTTATCCACTTATCAATCTATCTATCTATCTATCTATCTATCTATCTATCTATCTATCTAGCTAGCTATCAAACTACAAACACTTGGTCCAAACACCCATTCAATCATTTCAAATCACAAACACTTCTTCCATACACACCAACATATATTGTCATTGTCACGTACTACAACACCAACAATATACACACGTCAAAACACAATGCATTCAATTCTCTATCACTAATCTATTACAACAACAAAATACACTAGCACCATACACGCATCAACCAGTCACTCACACAATCACTCATTCACTTGGTCACTCATACACCAGCATATACACCTAAAAAAATAACAATATATACATACAATTAAAATAACTCACCTCAAACTCACTAACACTGTCACACAGTCAGTCGCATCGTCAATTCACAAACCTGAAACACACAAAACAAATACATTCGTATCAATCCAACTTCAATTCACAATCCTAATATACATCCATTCTATACACATTCTATACTGTCAGACGACAAAACCAATAGTCATCAAGTAGTTAACAGATGTCCCTATCTGAAGTCATTCATCACACACAGGTTATTATTCAGTCATCAACATCATCATTAACACACTACTAAATATAAACACACTCACTCACCTCTTCTTCACACTCCAAAACCGCACACTCTATGCTGTACTATGCAGTTCTACTGCGATCTAACACAAACCACCGACAAACCTAAAATAAACAAACAAATATACAAAACAAAAACAATTAGCATTTCAATCATTCATTATTAATTCTCATATACACCATGTCATATTAACATCATCAGTGGTTCCTTAGAAGTAAACGGCATTTTAACGTGTATACCGACAAGCCACTTTCATCACTATCACCACAGCAACAGCAACCAAAACAAATCAAACAAACCCAACATACAAAATCACATTCACCACTTCAACATAACACCTCAAACACACAATATGCATTCCATCATACACGACAACATCACATACAAAATCAACCATATGAACACATATACACATACAAACACACAAACTAATGCCACTTCCTCGCAAAATACACAACACAACGACAAATGTACCATACTCAAATAACAAACTCTAACACAACCACCACTACCAACTCTCCCACACTCAATCTCTCACTCATTACAAACACTCAACAAGTCAACTACTACAATTACCCTGTTCTACTAACACCTCTACACTTCTCCATCAAACAACACTAATTCCCGCCATTACACAACAATTCACAACACTACTGTCTCTCACACTAAACAGCACTGCACAAAACAAAACAAAACAAAGCACCAATCAACAAAATCCTACAAACAATAACACCACAGCAACACTGCACCACTATCATTCACAATACTCACACAACAACACTAAACAATATCCATCAATTATACACACTAATCTACCACACCCTTACCAAACACCTCACAGATACACAACACAGACAAAACTGTGTGGTGATGCACAAAATCATTCACAGTGCATCAACAACTAATTCAATCTACCTCTGGTTCTTACGCCCAGTGACTGCAGTACATCCAGGCGCCTTTGCACAGAGGACACAGCACACCACCATCAATATCCAATAACTAACACACGTCAATCTAACAACCGATCTATCCATCTATCCATATATCCACTTATCAATCTATCTATCTATCTGTCTATCTAGCTAGCTAGCTAGCTAGCTCGCTAGCTATCAAACTACCAACACTTGGTCCAAACACCCATTCAATCATTTCAAATCACAAACACTTCTTCCATACACACCAACATATATTGTCATTGTCACGTACTACA